CTAAATATTCTTTGAACATAGGCATTTTGAACAGGTATGGTGAAGTAGAACGTGCATATTTTTAATAGTTCTTAAGATGTAACATGGCTTCTTTGTTAAAAATATTTCACCCACTTTTTATCTTATAATAATGATGAAAAGTTGTCATTTTTTTCCGTTTGTGACCAAAACAAATTTAAGTTTTTAGATTGATCAAATATTAAAGAGTCGTTTAATTGTAGATCATATTTGTTTAAAAATACAATGCTATTTTCTATATCAGTCCATAAAGGTTTAGTGTTTAAAGACATCCATTTTAAACAATTAAATTGATCGAAATTGGCTGTCTATTTTTTCAAATAACACAAACCATCATGATCATAAACATTTAACATTTCTTTTTTAAATTAGATGCATCTGATCAATTATAATTATTTTTAAATATTTCTTTTACTTTTAAGGGTAAAAATTCTTGTTGTTTTCGTTCGCGTGTAAAGTATTTTCTGCAGACAACAATATTGACGATATAGGTATCTCCCAAATCGAATTATTTTCTTTTTCCATTATCTCAATTTTTGAATGAAATACATACATTAATTTAGTAAATGAATGAACCATAAACAACTTTCATGTAAAGGATTTTCAAAAAATGATTAAATTGCAATCGGTATTTTATTTTGTGACAAAAAATATAATATATATTTCAATATTTGTAACCATATATTAATAGCCGTAAATAATGATAACCATCTTGTTTTTGAATGAAATAAAAGTTTTTGTTCTCAAAATCGACAAAATCGACAAAAGTACAAAATTCTTTTAATGCTTCTGTACGTATACTATATAAATTGAAAAGTAAGTACAGGTATATATAATTGACTCTATATCTATCGGTAAATCATCAATTGCATGCTGAACACAGTTTTTTAGAATATAATGAGCATGCTCATGCAGGGCATCCGATTCCAATAATTGGTTTTTCTGCAATATGCTGTTGGAGACGATAAAAAACATTATTTGTCCCACATCATNTTAAGTGTATATACCTAATAATATATTCTTTAAAAATTATTTTACAAAAATATAAAATAAATAGATAATTTTTTTTTAAATAGATACTTATATACTTAGTACTTACCTATATTATATTATATCGGATGTATAGTATATTTATTAATTTATTATACTTGGACTTTAATTTTCAAATTACCATAGCTCTCATATAGCTTCCTAATCAATTATCTTGGACCTATAATTATTAGCATACAGAATTTAATAACTCGAAAACTACTCGAACAAATTTTGATTTATTTCCACAAAATAATTTACATTAGTTGTGGGGAGGGGGCAGGTGTTGTAATTTGAAAAAAAAACAGAAGTTTTTATCTCTACACATGCATTCTTTAATTAAGTAAGTAATACAAAAAAAAATCTCAAGAATTTAAAAATATACATAATTCATAAGTTAATTTGAAATTTCAAAAATTAGACTTTGAATAACTGCATATTTAATAAGAATAAACAAGTGAGCTTGATGCTYTGTGTRTAAGATATACTATATAGTATATTTGATATATGAGTGCATGATATCTCTCTCTCTCAATATATTGTATACGTATTGTACTTCTACATACGACTATGTATATAATGTTACTAATTTTGACTATCAGTGTCATATTAAAGTAATTTTTATAATGATTTAAAACTGTTGCAGCATAATCAATTGTACATAACCATTATACTATAATTATAACAATTATATATTATTATATTATTATTTAATATCAATTAAAAACTAATATGTTTTCGGTTTGGTTATTGTGGTATAATTGTAAAATTATTTATTTAAGTGCTAGATAGTTCTAAYGAGTGATTTGTCTTTTAATAAATTAGAATGCGCAGAGTTTTGACATGTCGATGAATTACAATATATTTTGAATCAGTTAATTATTTAAAGAAAAAGTAAGTATTTTGATGAGTGGAATGAATTCGCACGTTGGTACGGAATATTAAACATATTATACTTATGAGTGTTATTGTAACTTAAACTAATAAGTACTTTTTACTATACAAGATGATTCGTTTAAGTATACCTACTTATGATACTCATTAGGTATATTTATTTAAAATGCATGTTGCAGTCATTTAAAAACTTAAAAATTAACGATAAAAATAGTTGTTTAGTATAATGACATATATAAGATTATGCAAGAACATAAAACACTTAACAACTTTTTGATGTATAATAATAATATATAGTGTTAATTATTTAAGGAACTCCCAGCATATATATATATATATGACTATTTGATATAGAGACAGTTATAAACTCGATTACTGTTACATAGGTATATTAGTTATAATATAGGCATTACCTATATATTAGTAAATATAATGTTAATTTGCACATGTATGCCGTATAATCATAAAGAAGTAGGTACTTGGTATTTGGTAAATGCATGGACACTTTGTACTATCTATTGTTTGAGTTGCATACTGTGGACATGCACTTGTACGGTGAAAAAAAATTGGTAAAAATCGATCACAGACACTATGTACATTTTACAGTATTATGAATAAACCGGGAAGTATATTTTACTAGATAAAATCAAATCAAATGGCTCAAAACTTTAGGTCGCGAATCGTGATCGCATTTGGTAACATATTAGATCAGTAGAACATATATAATCTATATACGCTCTAAAATACACTACTAACCAAACTACAAAATTCAGTCAAAAAATGTGTTCAATGATGACTTGTACGAGTAAAGTTATTACAAACCTTTATGAATCGATGAGTTACAACTTATAGCTCATAAATCATATTATTTTAAAATTTATCGTTTTTTTAAAAATATTTTTATTTATATCATAGTATAAATTACTTACAAAATGGACTAATATTATAACCACAACTTGAGTGATAAAATATTAAAGCTGAAAAACGTTGCACTATGCTGAACACAGTTTTTTAGAATATGAGCATGCTCATGCAGGGCATCCGATTCCAATAATTGGTTTTTCTGCAATATGCTGTTGGAGACGATAAAAAACATTATTTGTCCCACATCAT